GTAAACAGTCAAATTTGAAGAACTAATAGGCACAGAGTCCAGGTTCACCTCCTTAGAAGAATTTCCATCTGTGGGGACTTTGACAGATTTTGAAAGATTGTGGTACCAAGATGCAGAATCATCAGCATTACTTGATAACCGATTTACGTCCACCTTCTTGGAGTCTGATTGGAAGCCATTGCAGAATCTGCTCTGAGGGGAGTCTGTATTATCTACATTTGAGCCAGTTGCCAATCTGCTATTATCAAGAAACTTGTTTCTGTCAAGCCTGGGACTTAAAGAAGTGTTGAAAGATGTGAGTGCTTGAACTGCTATTGGGGTAACCTCTAGATTGCTTTTTCTTATAAATGAAACTGAGGACATCTCTGGAACATCAGTATGAGGAATGTGCCGATATGAAGTGCTCATGAAAGAAGTTACAGCTGCCCCAGTATGGCTTCTGGGGCAAAGATCTCCAAAGTTTTGTGAATCTTCATTCCTTGATCTTTTACCAATCAGATTGGACACGTGAGACCTTATTAGTTCATGAGGTTGCTTGACCTCCACGTGCTGCACTAAAGACGATTTTTCTGCACAGGGACCTTCAGGAGATGAATTCAAGTCAATTGTAGCTTTCCCTGCAAACAATCCTTTAGTCATTTGATATTGCCAGTTCTAATAACAATGACTAAAAATTCAAATAAGAGATAAGGATGTCAAATACAAACTTCCTATAAAAACTGAATAAGGGATAGATGAAATAATGTGATAAACGAATGCCCCTTAAGATAGTTTTCTCACCTGCAACATCATCATCAGAGACACCAATTTTTAGTAGTATATTCTTTTCTGAATGAGAAACATTTGAGGAATTTTCAACATCACCTCTTGTGTCTCCAATCTCATTTCTTTCATTCGACAAAACTTGAAAGTCTGAATCTACTATCCCTGATAGATCTGACGATTTCATCGTTTTATAGCCAGTCAAAGGACCCAGAGAACTACTAGGATTTGCCTTTTCCTCAGCCTTGACGGGTTCATTCAAGTCTACTAAACATTTTGCTTTTAAAGAAGTGCAACCTGACGTCCAATTGTTCTGTTGAAATTCTGAGTTGAAGAAAATACTGCTGGAGGGTTCTTTATCTCTCTTATGTACAATCTCAAATTTTCTCTTAAGAGGATAACTTAGAATCTGAGAAACATCAGAGACCTTTTCCTTTTCCAAAATTTTTTCTTCATCACTATCAGCATATTCATAAGCTGGAAGTTCCAGATCCAAGATCTTCTTGCCATATTTCTTGCCCTCAGACACCAAGAACTCAGAGTCTGCCTTGAATGCGCTTCTTTGAGAAGGATAAGAACCAGCTTGTCTCTTTTTTCCGTCAGCAAAATTTAGGGGCAATAAGCTGCTTTTAGATTCAGAAACATGTGATTGACCACAAGAAGGGTTCGCCCAGGGTAAGGTGGAGCTTTGCCATGTATTCAATACATTATTAAATGAGCTCTGAGAGAGAAGAGGATTTGACTGTGAGGTTTCAAGCTGGAGGTGATATTTACATAGCTCAGTCCTCTTCACTTCCTCCATCAACTCCTTCTGTCTTCTGTAAAGGCGATGGAGTTCATGGATCTGGACGGCCAAAACACCTCAGATTTCAGTGCTTTATGAATAGTATTCTTATCAAAACTTATAAATGAGAAATGTAAATTTCAGCATCCCCAAAAAATGTACAAATTTTTTGCTTTCTTCAATTTTCAAATGTAACATTGAGTTATAAGAACTGTCATTTTTTCACTGTAGCATTTACAAAAACCTGACTTATATAAACTGTCTAACCTCGTCCTCTATGCACGTATATTCAAAAAATAACTCGGCCACAAATTGTTGCTTAAGAGGAGGACTAATGTAAATGGATAACAACAGAAACAAAATAAAACTTTCTCAGAATTATATCAAGATAGTAGGCTGAATGGAACATAACAAACAAGATTTTACCCAAAAAAATCCACAGCCAAAACATACCTGATCCCTGAATATAGATTCATGCTTGAGCATTGTCTGCTTCAATGCTTCCTTGTTGCACCCTAAATGCAGATCAGGAGATGGTGATGATAAACTGCCAGGGCAGTAGTGTCCATTATTCAATATTTTATCAATATTGTTGAAGGGAAATGCACTGCCATTAACTTCTAAATTTAGATCCCTAGTGGAGTAGTATCCTGGGAAATAGCTTTTACACTGCATGTCTGCTTAAATTCGCAGCAATGCCATATAATATAAAGTTTCAACCAATAACAAATCAGGAAGAAACAACCTCTGTATCATGAAGAGAGAAACCTGTAACAAAAACCATCAAGTGCTAAGTTGATTTGCATACAAATAAAGAAAGAACTAACAATTTTTTCCCTCTCCCTTGCCGATAGAGAGAATCAAAGAAAACTTTCTATTAAGATACACTTCCAACAGCAGATTAACTCTTATATTTCTTCCATGTTAAACTTATATGGTGTTTGAAGGCCAAAGAATGTCATTCAACTAACAATGCACATGATAAAGCAGATGTTACAGTCACACATAACACGAGCATAGAGTCAAAACTTTATCAAATACTAAAATTAATGTCCACCTAGTAATTCCTTGAGCTGAACGTAGAACAAATACTCAAATGCGAGCAAATATTTTTCCATTTGCTAGGTGTATTTGAATTTCATAAGACATCAAGAAACAAAGTGAGAACTTCATGATTAATCTAGACTCCGCTGTAAATCCTTTGCTTCTGCAAGAAAATTACAACGTACATTTCCATTGAAAGACAAAAATCAAACCTTCTGATGTACTTTCTTTAAATGTGACTTGATCAATATGCTTCCAGCCTGTCACAACTGGGACAATTTTTCTGAGTGTACAAAGATTTAACAGATATTGAGATAGTGTTCGTAAAATAAATTAGGGAATTTTTGTAGTGTCCTCTGGGAGTGAAACAGTAGATGTACAGTCCTAAGAATCCATGAATATAGAAAGGATAAACAATCATGATTTGCAAATATTCTCAGCAGTGAAAAAAATCAGAATCAAATTCCCTGCCGAGTAATACATCAATCCCAAGACTTGAGAGAAAAACAACCTACATTTACCAGCAGACAGAGAATTAACGAGAATAGGCCCTTGTGATTTAGTCCATTTCCCAGCATATAAAAAACATTATTGTCTTAGCTCTTCAAAAATATGTAAAAAAATCTA